TTAATCTTTTTTAAGTCCTTTTTTCTTCTTTGTTAACTTTTTAATTTTTATTATTTCGATGGAAAAATAAAATAAATTATTTTAATCCGATTATCATTCTGGCATAGCCAAAACAGAATTTCTGTCCGTATTAACACACTTTTTCTTCATTTAAACTGTACACCAAATTTTTCGATCAAGAGTTGCTCTTTCTTTATTTCCTCACCCTCACCTACAGATCCAGGTGGCTAATACTTTTCATCATAGCAACATAGTAATCTAGTTTCTTACTCTCTGTGTATGTGTTAGACGAGTACTATATTTTTATCATAACATTTTTATCACAACATGTGTGTACTAAGTACAAAACAAAATTTAATTCTCTCTCATCTCTTCTCTATTGTTATTTTGTGAAACTATGGCGTTTTACTTGCAAAAGTTGAAATCTTTCTCTTGCTTCATCGTTATCTGTTTTTAAAAATATTTTCCTCTTTCAATCTCTCTCCTTGTTTCTTCGTCGTCTATCGGTACTCTATTGACTGGTGTTGTTTTAGCGGAAATTTCTTGCTTAGGAAATTGAAAACACTGAGAGCTACTTTTTGCATATCTTTTTCATAAATTTAATAAAGTTTTGATATTAAACATCGATGAACTATCTGATGAACTATAGTCTACTATAAATAACATTTTGTTATTAAAATTAGAAATACAAACAATAAATTGCGCAGAAGTGCGCACTGTCGATTCCACCAGGGGTGGGCAAGTCCGATTTCAAGTCCGACGAATGTGAAATGTTTCCTGTTTCTCAGTCATCTTATAGCGAGTTGCTTTCAGCGTTATTGGATGCAGAATTTGTTCCTCTACAGAGCTATGTGGGAGTTGGAATCTTTAAGTGACACAGAAAAACAATTTTGTCATTTTTCCCTGTGGGTGTTTTTGATCCACTCAACAAACACTTGCGTACAAAAGAAAGCTTTTGTACAGACACAACACAAATAAATTCATTTTTTGCATGTTAGTTTTGATATTAAACATCGATTTTGATTTTGTTTAAATATACTTGTTAAATAAACCACAGTTCGATCTGATATTGCGGTCAAAAGTCATCGGAATTCGATTCTGATCAACTTTTGTACCCAAAGTTTTGCTTCAAAATGCTTTAGGCATTTTATTGGGAAAAGTCGATTTTTTCACCGATTTTTGAACATTTTACCGGGCTGCTTGCAAAGCCTATAACTTTTGAAGGGAGCAGTATTGTTTCAAACAGGAAACGCCATTGGTAACAGCACATCTTCAGCTACAGGAAATACCATGGGGCCAAAGCTTTGAGATGGCCTCTTAACAAGCAAAGTGAGAAATAGGCGTATCTTAAATACAATAGCTCATTGCAAAAAAAGACGCCGTTTATCACTGAAATGCGACGAATGCTTCGCACCGCATTAATAAATGGTGATATATTCGAATTCTTAGTGCTATGCCTTAGTGCGCCATATTTCCGCTTTCTTTTCTTTAGCAAAAAACAGAGAATATCAAAACTAAAATGTATTTGATCGTATGATTGTACACGCGATAAAAAATTGAAAAGTTAATTCTTTTAAGACAATAAAAAACAGAAAATATTCTGTTGTATTGACGTACAAAGAAAGAAACATTTTATGAGTAACGAGTGCAGTTGTTTATCGATGTTATAAACAATCACAGAATTCGACAACATGTCTGTTTGCAGGTGTGTGCAAAACCATAAATTTTTTCTGCTTCTCTGTAAGTAAGGTGTAGTCAAGCAAAAGCAATCTGTAAACACAACAGAGTAGAAAAGAGAACTATATAACTTATTCCTAATGCGCTTTTTTATTTTTATAGAAGAGTACGTTCTATTGAATTCTATTTTATTGCGGAGAAATATACTGATCTGCAACGTTTAAACTGCTTATTAGAATTCGGTTTACCACAGTACAGTATACGAGATGATGGTACATGTGTTAGGCAGGCAAGAGCTATGTATTACTTTTTCGAAGATGTGTTAAAATGGCCAGATGGGTATGAAATACTCTTTAGTGGTAGCGGTTCAATTAACTTGGAAAAACCATGAAATTTAATAAAAAATAGAAGCGGTAACATAAATAAGATTGTTGAAGTTTTTTGTAAATCAACTCGTTTACTCTGTTTCATAATATGCATGGCTGTCCTCCGCTTGCAAAAGCCTTTTCTTTTATTCGTTTTTTTCTAGCAGGAAATTGAATTATTGGCTTATCGCACGTTACTTTTCTCAATCTACCTCCCTATAAGATAATACGTCCGGACGTATGGGGAAATTTCTGCACCGGTATGCCGACGGGTAGTACGTCTTGATTAGTGTCAAGACTATACGTCCGGACGTATGGGGAAATTTCTGCACCGGTATGCCGACGGGTAGTACGTCTTGACTAGTGTCAAGACTATACGTCCGGACGTATGGGGAAATTTCTGCACCGGTATGCCGACGGGTAGCCCGTCATGCTCGACTTTTGGACACCCCGTCCTGTCTACTCCTCTGGTTCAGCATCCGGTCGTACATCAAGACTTGTAGTCCTGACACTTTTAAAAAAAAGATTCCAAATGCGGACTAGTCTGGACGGGTTACTCGGACACTTCGGACTAGTCCGGACGCCGGTCAACCAGGTTTTATTGCTCACTTGGGTATTTAAGATGTAAACTACTTCAATACAATAAACATTCTAATGCTTTTGCTCTAATATCGACAATTCCTAAACACTGTACGTGAACTGAATTTCGACATTGAGCTAATAAATTTTGTTTTTACAATCGCTTTTTCGTTATAGAAAAGCTCAGGCCTGAGGAACTTGAACTAGCCCTTACTGAACGGGGGAGTGACTACAGACGAAAACAAAGAAGAGCATTCATGAAATTTATTAGATATGCTCACAATTATTTGATGGAGTTTATCATAAATCAGTTATGGCTACATTCAACCTTCCTATTTACATTACATAAAACAATCACTCTAGTAAGGCTTCGTACGCATATAAATGTGTGTAAAGTACAAGTAACTGTTGCCTGTACTGGGGAGATGTATTGCCGGAACAGACAATGGCGATCTTGCCTGAACTAGCAATACTGGCAAATCGGGAAAGATAAAATGGACGATATTGAGTAGAATTTGTTTTTCATTTCTCCCATGAGAAAGGACGAAGGTTGAGCACATAATTTTGATACACAATGAATATACAATGTGCAAGAAGAAGAATAAAGACTTCCCGCCCGTTTGAGGATCTATGCTTCGGAGATGGTATCTTGTCTGATCGTGCAGGTGACAACGGACTGACAGTAAGGATGGGGGAGACAAAATTTCGTGCTGAATTCATTCAGCACCGTTTTGACTCATAAAGGCATAATCCATTTGTACATTCTAATGTTTCTTACTTGCTACCTGAGTAACTGCAATACAAATGAAATAAAAAGCATCTTTTATACCCCTAAAAGGGACCAGTTAAAACTTAAAAATGACTAAAATTACTCCATAAAGGTCCGAGGGAAAATGAAGTAGTCTACGATAATTGGCGCATAAAACTCTAAAAAGTGAGACATATGCGACTGCACCCTAGACAAAATCCTACACCGGTTTATTTCCTACTAGGATCCTAACATTTAAGATCCTATTATGATCTGTTTAGAATTTAGAATCATCGCATTTTCTTGTTCGGATCCTATCCTAGGAAATCCTATGACTTTCGGGTAATTGTGGTTCCATTAGGATTATGTAGGATTTTGTTAAGATCACAAAAGACCCAAGCGAAATCCTAGTAGGATCCTGTCAGGAAATTCAGAGGTCTCTTACTAAGGCAAAAGCTGTGTCATGCTTCGAAGTCTTCCCTCCTCAGTTGTTTGTAAACCATTGAGGGAACAGTCGGCCATATCAACGTATGATTATGAAATTAATTTCTAAGCTTTATGCATGGTGCTTTATGTAAACGCTATATGTGGCATGACCACTTCAATATTTGAATGATGAGATTTTACATGGAAACTGCAATTTGGGGTCCGAAAATACACAACCAGTTAAATGTCGGGTTTATAAGCAATTCAAATTAAAAGTTTAAAATCAATGAGCAGTCTACATTTTCTTCTGATACGTTTGTCACTCTTCATGTTTTTGCTTTTCACATGCGGACCCC